CGTGCATAAACCTCGCTTTCTGTGATGCAGATAGCGAAGGCAAATGTTATGCTTCAGCTCTCATGCATTATCCCCCATGTCTTAAGTGCCGTCGTCCTTGCTAGAAGGCGATGCTTTGGTATGCAAGGTATGTAATCGGAGTAAGATTTGTAGGAAAACGTAAAGACGCTTTGACTGTGGTTGAATGTGACAACGCGCCCCACTCGTTTGCCTTTATTGGTGCAAAGTACGCAGTGTGTTGTCCATTGCACTCGTTAAACCCCACGGTCAGATACGCAGGCACACAATTGAATTTCCATTGCATGTTGTCGGTAGATGGGAAAATTTTTACCCATTAGTGGGCGCAAGCACCGAATTTTTATATCTGAATTTCCGTCAAAACCACAGTGCGTGAGCCAACCTGATAAGCAGCAGCGTTCGGTGCTGCAAAGGGACTGTGTTCAGTTGGGAGCTGCTGTAGGAGCAGTGCGAGAGGGCACGTAATGTTAGCTGTTGTGGCCTGTGAGCGGCACGCGCACATGCAGAGAGGTCTGTTAACATGTTCCACGCGCAGCGTACAACCCTGTTGTCAATGACCCCAGGGCGAGGGCCTCCCCACGCCATGTGCGACATGGGCAATATCTGACGGCACTGCTCAGTGTGGGTTGGTGAAGGCGGAGAGCATAGCTATGGATGCATAGAAGTACCGCACAATAACGGATGTTTGCTGCATCATTGGTTAGGAATCGTGATCGCCAATCTCGGCAGTATTCAAGCAACTATATCCAGGTTCAACCGTGGGAGCCTAGAAGTAGAGTACATTGGTACACAGCGCAACAATGCATTTTCTTCGCGCTGCCCTCTGCTGTCCACCACGTAGTCCTGCAGCCGGAGCACGTGTTATGAATGATCTAAATATTGACGGGAAATCAATAGCAGGTGGCAGGCCTTTGTTGACAATAAAATGCCTCGTGACATTTCACCTTCCGTGACTTGTCGAGTGACTTGGCAACGCGTTTGTGGCTGATAAGAGAACCGGGCACCCAGAGGGAGGCACATTTTTACCATTGCTGTTTCTCGAACACCATGTTCTTAAGTGCTCCTTAAGCTCTTGGCGCACATTCTGCGTATGTTGAACTTCTTTCGCACCGTACGTAGCCAACCATGCTATCGTGACTTAGAACATTCACTCCTCTGTGTTTGTACAAACTGGCCTTTTGACAGACTCATCCAGAATGTACCCAATCTCGGTCAAAGCTAAGCAGGTTGGAGCCTGGGTTGTGCTTGTATGGGTGACCATAATAATATATTGTTTTTTTTTCAACTTATATAGCGTACATCATCATGTTGATGCGCCCCTCCCCATGCCATGTGGCTTGTGGGATATTTGCCCATACTTCACCACGCTAGTCAGCGTAGGCTATTGGGGGCAGGGAGAATGGCCATGGTGGGGGGGGGGGGCGTGGAGGCACAGTAGAATCGTCGATTTTGCTGTACTGGCCTCTGCTGTCCACCAGACAGCCCTGCGGTATGCATACTTTATTTTATCGCCAGTTGTATTGCAATGCGGTTCGGACTTCTCGGGTCATGACCCCTCCGTGCTGCAAGGGGTTAATGTTGTGTTACATGGCACGGCTTCTCTGCGACCTGCAATTGGCTGGTTGGTTGACGCACGACAGTTGCCACGCCTCCACGGCTCTCGCGACGAGACTCTCGCTGGCCATCATTTGCCGGGATTTGCAAGCCCGAAGAAGGCTTGTCCCTTTTAACGTCCCCGTGTCGGCGCGAAGCCGGGCAAGGGGAATTGGAACGCAGACTCGGCTAACTGCGCCAAATTTGCGTTCACGTTAATGGAGCTGCCATCGGGTAAGGGATAGGTATTGATCTTGGCGTACATTTAAATCGGTGGTGGTTAGCCTCTTCGGAGGGGAGGAGGCATTGTGACCTTAGGGCCGATGTATCTTTTCTTCTTTCGGTGCTTTCACCGCATCAGCGGTACTCGCGGATAACAACATACAGTGCGAGTCACACAATCAATGTTACTGTTCCTTGGTGTAGATTTGTCCCCATGGTGTAGATTTGTCCCATTGTTTCTATGACCAATAATCCACTGCTGCAAAAGGGATTCCCCCAAGTGTGCCCTCTGTCTCTCACAGTCTTGTGCGTTACAACAATCCTGCAGCTGAGCTCATACTGTGTAGGAATCTCCTGGTTCCACCAGCCCACAGGGGATTATGGTGTCCGTCCGTCGTGCATCCAAGAATGTGAGGGGTGGGGCTGGGTGGGGAGGGAGGGGCTGGGTGGTGAAGGCGGCCACGGCACACACGAGGGGGTGGGTGGCCACCAACCACGTCCGGCCATCTTCACGACATTTTTCCCTCCACGTGGAGAATCAACAACATGCGTTAGGAGTACGCGGCTGCTCTCAATCTCTACATTATAAGCCGCCAATTCGTGGGTATTGTACTCTTTTTTTTTGAGGAACAGCTTTTTTTTTCCTCTCTTTCCACCATCCCAGGTCCCCACTCGGTCCCCACCCTTCACGCCGGCTTGTGCCCGCCCTCACAGTCGGGCATATTTGCGGAATACACCACGCCGCTGTTGACCCTGGCCATTGACCGCAGGAATGTGTGTTTTCATGGCTTCATCTCTGGGTGGTGGACATGCTCACCGGCATGTTCCCCCTTCTTCGGCCGCCACTCTCTTTTATTCTCATAAATCCAAATTGTGAATGCATTGCGTCCTAAGTGTATTTTACTCGTTGACTGATACGCCACGCTCATGCTCATAAGCGATCTCGTATAAAGCTAATGCTGTGCCCATTACTCCCCAGGGATTAACGTTAACTCTCGCGATTTATACCCAACGTGAATTTATTCACGAGGTGCCCACCCACAAGGTTCAACCGGGGCACTTGTCACATTTCACCTCCGCAGAGATTTGATGAATTGGAAAATTTTGGGATGGCGATTTGAGTCAAGAATGTGTATTTTATTTTTTTCTTACGTTTACTGTAGCTACGTTTTTTTCTTCGTACATTATTTTTTTTGTGTTATTCTGCCGTGGTGTAATGGGGTTAGCCACACCGTGCTTGGAGTTCAGAGGTCACAAGTTCAATTCTTTATCCTGACACGGCAGTTGAAAACAATAAAACATTAAATGAGATTTATATGCAGTATATAAAGAGGCTGAACAATCTTATCCGCGCCTCTTGTGTCCACCCAGCGGTGTGAATGGGTACACCACCACCACCACCACCTCCAAGATGTCTGGTCTAGCACGGAAGAGTAGGCCAAATGCTCCCCGGAGCCCTTTCCTCTAACAGTGAGGCAAGCAAAGCAATTGTACAGCTGGCGAATGTTCCTTTACCAAGGAGAGTTTTGTTCACTCCATTAGCCTACGTGTATTATATGAACGTGACATTTTCTTAAGTTTTAAATGCTGTCGTCGATTCTCAATTGTATGAATCCACGCATGTCTCTTGGTCTTAAGAATGAATTTGAAATGATGAACTCATTCATCATTACATTCCTAACAAGCCAGGATGCTTTCCACCTCTCGGCGCAAAGATTAAATGTAATTTTTTCCCACACGTCAAAAACAGAATTTTGTCAAATCGTCTGAGAAAGTTAACTCGGTAAGGCCTTTCTCAGTCAATAAAGAATTAAGTTAAACAGGCATTAACGCTGTCAATACCTACTATAATCACCCAGGAATGTCTGTCCTTAACGCTCGTGACGTCACTACATATCGACCAGCCCTCATTAATATTCATGAGTAGGTGACGTCTTCCTAATGGACCCACCCCTCTTCATTCATAATCATGAGCAGGTGACGTCACTCAATATGGAGTACTCCCCCCCCCCTTACTAATAATCATGAGCAAGTGACGTCACTCCACATCGACCAACCCCCCTCATGAATAATCATGAGCAGGTGACGTCCTCCACATGGACACCCCCCCCCCCCCCCCATTATGATTACCTCGTATAATGAGCCAAGAATGTTTGTGCAACGCTCGTGACGTCACTCCACATCGACCAGCCCCCCTCATTAATAACAATGAGCAGGTGACGTCCTCCACATGGACCCCCCCTTCATTAATAATCATGAGTAGGTGACGTCACTCCACATTGGACAGCCCCCCTCATTAATAAGCATTATAAGGTGACGTCCTCCAAATGGACACCCACCTCCATTCATAATAATTAGCGGGTGACGTCACTCCACATGGGGGGCCGAGGCGCCTCCCCTCCCCCCTCCTCGGCGTCAACTCACAACCCTCACTACAAAGGCAGAACCCTCACGTCACGCGATTTCCGTAACGCTATTGAGACATAGAAGTAAAAAGGACGTCACGATGAACAAGGGATTTTAACCTTTTTAATGAAATAGGTCTGTGTCACCGCGCCCTTACAAATTGCAGACGCATTAATGCAATAAATGTGATGTCGCGGTCTGATTTTCGCTTGCAAGTTTCAGATTTACTGCAATACACCCGTCCTTGGACGGGCAAAAGGCCAGTAAATGAGTTATGTAACTTTAAGGAGCCGTCACAAGTGGTCGTAAATTAATCTTAAGCTCATGCCGCACGTTTATGCGCACTGAATTGTGTGTAAACTATTCACATGCACTTGTGCATTTCAGCCTGTAACCAAGTCACCAGGAATCCGCCCAGTCTTGTCAGATCGCGTAAACTAAGCAGGTTTGACCCCAAGTAGCACATGGATGGGCAACAGCCACCACACACAATGAGAGCCAAAGTGTTAAAAGGGTTACGTTTTGGGTAGCAGAGAAAACATCTGTTGCTGCGTTGTCCATCTATGCTGGCCGCCTTCACCAGCCCGCACCGTCGAACGCGGTGAAGTTTGGTTAAAATAGCCCACGCGGCATTGACGGCGTGAAGCAAGGCCCGCATCCAGGAGTGGACTGACATAGGTGGCCGAACATGTACGGTGAACATTTTCCGGCTACACGACTGGTGGCGGCGGGCTCCTAATGCCTCTGTGCTTTGTTCTCAGGGTTCACACGGATACGTCTGACTTCACCGTGAGGTCATGACCCCGGGGGAACAGCCAAAGTCACTGTCACTGTGAGTTCTCCTCAAAGCAGCGATCGGAAACCTCTCCCTTACCGAGGGCCGAATGGGACTTTTAGTTATCTTTTGGCAGAGTGACGCATGAACACACACCTGAGCGCTATCAAGGAATCACGTAAACAAATTATTCGGGCTCGAATTTAATTCGGGCTCGCTTTTACGGAGTGCGCCAAATTTAGAAAGACAGTATTGACAGGTTGGAAATCTTTTCCCTCTAGTGCCCGATTAGTGTGGCGAAGATGCTTTGCAGTGTCAGGTTCAATTTGGGCCGTTTTGTAAGTGGCACACCTCATTTTAATTTATGGAGAGAGACAGTTAGTCATGGGCAGAGTTGAACAGAATGGTGTAGAGCCTGAACCTGAATAGGGCCAGGTAGCCGACAGCACGAGTGGCTTGGAGAAGACCACAGCAAAGGCGAATGAGCGACCTCCCACTGATAGAAGGCTGACCGAGGGCTTCAACAGAAAGCCTTTGGTTGATTGAGCAGAGAATGCGTGGAGGAGGGACTGAGTGAGATGAGAGGGAGAGGTAGCCAGGGGCGTTTGAACAGCAGACACGGTAAAAGAATATGGAGAAATTGCATTTGATTGTAACGTTCCACAAAATAATAATTCCGTGACAATGTGACGGTAATAACACGCACAGGATGACGCATCACACACCGGCATGCTTGACGTGGCGCACCGTAGACGGGGTGTTGCACAACGGAGACGTGCAGCATATGTCTGCCAAGTTCGTGTGACTTGGACGGGTCAGAGCATCCAATTACATCGCATAGCACTCACTGTTCAGCAATGTCATTTAGGCCATTGTGAGACTTTGGCTGTGAGCACTCGATAACACTGTGATAGATTTTTTTTTTACGGCTCTGGCTGATGCATGGGTGGTGTGTGACTGCCAAATAATTACAGTGTTTGGAAGCGAAATCGTGTGATGATTTGTAGCCTCTAGTCTGTAATCTTCACGGATAGGGTTGAACAAAGTCCAGGATTCACCTGTCAGGGACAAGAGATGCATCCCCTTCCCTGTTGCGCTGGGCTGTGTCCCCAACGCAGGGGGTACCACACTGAAATCTGTGTGTCTGAGCTCTTCTTATAATCTCCCACTGTAATGCATCGTTATCGGGGAAACGTGCACGCGATTGTACTGATAAGCACTGTACAGATTTGGATACGCATTCCAGGATACGGTGTACGTACTGTGCTGCACGCTTAACCAGATCCATTGCCCATGATCAAATTGCCCGAAAATGTGCTCAATCTCGTCAGACCTCGGACGCTAAGCAGGTTTGAGCCTCTATAGCACAAAAAGGTTCCCCACCCCCCCCCCCCCCCCCATATTGCCACGGGCTACACGATGGGCAGCAGAGGGCAGTGAAGAGAATGTATTGTTGTGCTGTACTTATATGCTGCCCCGCCTTCACCAACCCGTGCAGCGATGTGAAATATGTTCAAATAAATCCCATGACTCTGCAAAGTGTGGGGAAGTCCTCATATTAGTATTGGATTTTCAAAGGGCTGTACAGACACAGGGAGAGCTCACGAGAACAGAAGTGATGCTCTGCAAGGGAGATATGCGGGATACACTTTGTGCAGGCATGATGTGTTGTGTTCAAAACTAAAAATCGCTGCAAACGGTCCACTGAAAGGATTTTACCGGAAGGCACCGTCAAAATATTTGGCGCTGCTATCCGTTCTCCGATACATTGGGTTGTAGTTGTTGAGTTGTAGTACTGCCCTGCAAAATGTTTCAATATACTCCTCATTTCATGACATTGTGTCGGTAGCGAACCGGAAATAAAATAAGGTGGAAAGACCAATAAGATATAAAAACTAAAAAAAATCGGTGCATAATAAATCTATGGAAGCAAAACGAGATGCAAAACAGCGCAATTATATATTTATTTTCAGCATTATCACTATTCAAAAGTTTCCTACGTATAGATTTTTTCCATTCTGTAACCTTCAAATCCCTTCGTAAGAGTACGTAAAAATGTTGTTTGTCAGATAAATTATTTTGGTAAGTCGTGTTCAGTCGAATTGAAGAGTGTGTGCACTTCGATAGGTTTCATCGCACAGCACACAGTTTGCACTTGTGATGAATTTTGATTAATTCTGACCTCCCTCCTTTGTGCGGATGAACATACAATATTTATATCGAGATCCAAAAAATATATATACAGTAAACCCTTGTTAATTCCACACGCATGGGGTTCTGACCTTCTAGAATGATCAAATATTTCGAATTATGTACAATGGGAGACTCCCCAGTGCCTCCTGCCCCAATAATTCCCCAAAAAATTCCAAAAGTTATTTTCTCCCGGCTCTTCTTGCTGTCGTGAAAGGTACTTGATTTTCACATGCCATACGCAACTGACACACACCCTGCATTAATTCCATCCAAAACTTTAGATTTGTCTCGCAGACTTTTAAGGGATTTATACTTCAGTCCTTTTCAATTACTTCTTGATGTGAGTGTAGACGACATTTCTGAGAGGGTTGGCTTGCACAGAGTTAATAAACAAGGTGAAGTCCATAAACAAGGTGAAGTCCAAAGCAACAGGTCTGCACTAACGCTCACCACGTGCGCTGCCACGAGACTGAGTCATTGTTTAGGTGGTGGCACGCGGCGTCACTCCACGCGTATGCCGAAATTTGACCATTCGGCGCGGCAATTCGGCGGGTGGCGAATTACTAAAACTGTGTGTATGCCGCAAGCGCAGCCGTGCCGAATTATCCCCAGTTACGAATTGTCAAATACCAAAATAACGAGGTTTTACTGTACATTTGAATTAAAGTGTGATACAATGTAAAAATGTGCAACAAAAAAATCCCAAATGTTTTTTGTTACGCACACTCTACAACGTAGCGGTATTGGGTTGTGCCACGGTGTCCGCTCTCTTTTTATGTTTCCCTGCTGTGACGCTCCCTCCCCAAATGTTTATTTTCCTCCCGTATTTCTAAATCGTCTTGAGATGCGATTGCATTTAGTTGCTATTTTAATTGAAAGTGGTTGATATGCTCAACTTGCTTTTTTGCCCGTCCAAGGACGGGTGTCTATTGCAGTAAATCTGAAATATTTAATCGAAAAATTGTTCAGCTCATGATTATTAATGAGGGGGGGGTTGCCTCATGTGGAGTGACGTCACCCGCTAATGGTTATTGGGGAGGGGTGCGGCATGTGGAGTGACGTCACCCGCTAATGGTTATTGGGGAGGGGTGCGGCATGTGGAGTGACGTCACCCGCTAATGGTTATTGGGGAGGGGTGCGGCATGTGGAGTGACGTCACCCTCTAATGGTTATTGGGGAGGGGTGCGGCATGTGGAGTGTGGAGTGACGTCACCCCTCATGGTTATTGTGGAGGGGTGCGGCATGTGGAGTGACGTCACCCCCTCATTGTTATTGTGGAGGGGTGCGGCATGTGGAGTGACGTCACCCCCTCATGGTTATTGGGGAGGGGTACGGCATGTGGAATGCGCGACCTTGTGCGTTTTTGTAAATTTCCACGCGGGCATGAATATTAATGAAGGGGGGGGGCTGATTTACAGTGACATCACACACGGATGTAGCACTGTGCTGTGTAGATTTATTTTGTACCGTCACTTTCTATGAAGAAACGTCATTTGAAGCGACTTTGCGCGATTAATTATTTAATTCAGCTCGAGCTTCTGCGTTCGTGTTTAGATCCACCCACTCATGAATATTAATGAGGGGGGGTAGACCTTGTGAAGTGACGTCACGCGGGGGGGGGGTGGGCCTCATGTGGAGTGACGCCACGCGTGGGACGGACAGACATTTGTGGGTGATTATAGGAGGTATTTGTTTTCAAGGGGTCGCAATGGTGGCGAGATGTTAACTACCTCGCCTGGTATGCAGGAAGTCGTGGGTTGGATCCTGCCGCCTGCTGTATATGTGGAGTTTGCGTCTCTCTCATCATCATCACGGTGGCTAGGAGATGTTAACTACCTCGCCTGGTATGCAGAAAGTCGTGGGTTAGATCCTGCCGCCTGCTGTATATGTGGAGTTTGCGTCTCTCTCATCATCATCACGGTGGCTAGGAGATGTTGACTACCTCGCCTGGTATGCAGGAAGTCGTGGGTTCGACCCGGACCCTGACGTCTGTTGTATATTTGGAGTTTGTGTGTCTCTCTCCCCGTGGTTGCGTGGAATTTGTGGGTTCTCCGGTTTCCCTCTCCACATTAAGAATCAACACGCGTTCAGAGTATTTGGCTGCTGTAAGTTTCCACGCGATAAGCCACTTCGATCAGCTATCATTTGTGGCCAGGTCGCTTCTGAAAAAGAGCTACGTAGCTCAGTTGGTCTTACCTGGTAAAGGAAAATTAGTTAATAGTTTAATTGAAACTATTTGCCTTTTATGGCAATAAAGCAGGAGGTGTTTCGATGTTCAAACACCAAATATAAACATTTTGCAAGGAATCAAGGCTGCATTAACCACACGAAGTTGCGGTGAACGTGCAAACAAACATGCTCTGATAATATACTTGCATTGTCTTTGAAAATGATTGGCCTATACCAGAGACAGCCTTTATTATTATAATTATTTTTTACACGCTTTTATTTAACTCACTCTGTTGTTATCGTTGTATCCTCAAATCTTGTAACTCAATTTTAACCCACTTCCCAGTGTGGTATCGACTGCAAACTTAGTATACTTATGTCATACTGATGACAATACTCTAGTCTATCATTAAATATAAAAAAAATAAAAATCTTTTTACAGGCTTTCTATTAACTCACTCTGTTGTTGTCGTATCCTCAAATCTTGTAACTCAATTTTAACTCACTTATTCTTGGTTCTTTCGGTAAAGTCACGTAGAAGGGAAACAAAATAAAATAAAATATATAAAACAATATTTTATTTAGTTATATTTTCATTATATTTTTTTTATTATTTCATTGTTTCCCTTCTACGTGACTTTACCGAAAGAACCAAGAATATGAATCGCTGCAGTCACGAAAGCTTCAAATCAAAATTTCAGAGCATGTTTGTTTGCATGTTCAACACAAGTAGCGTTAATTAATGCAGACATGATTCCTTGCAAAAGGGTTCTATTTTGGTGTTTTTTAAACATCTTAACCACCTCCTGTTTTATTGCCATAAAGGGTAAACCCTATTCTTGTTTTTTCATACACACAGTCCTCTGTTTACAATGTCTCCTCCTCCTCCTCCCCCTCCGTTGACACGAGCGTTCCCTTCCTGCCCCCTCTAGCCCCTAAAGGCCGACGGGCGGTCATTCTCGTGACGTTCAGGCCGCCGCCGCCGGCCGGCCGGGCGCCCCCCCTCGCCCCCCACTCCGCCTCCCCGCAGCAGCAGCAGCAGCAGCAGCGGCCCCCCACCCACCCACCCTGCATGGCGGGGGAAGGGTCGCAGGGTGGCGGCAGCGGCCTCGCTGGGGGGTGGGAGGAGGTCGGGCTGGGGGCGGCCGCTCCCCTGCGGAGGTCCCCCGTGGGCCGCTCCTCGCTGCTGCGGGCGGCCACGGTCGATGTGGCGAGCGAGGCGCGCGGCGCGGTCTCTCTAACGCGTGAGTTGGTACACACACACACACGCGTACACACACACACGCGTACACACACACACACGCGTGCACAGACACACACGCGTGCACACACACACACGCGTGCACACACACACACGCGTGCACACACACACACGCGTACACACACCCACACGTGTACACACACGCGCGCGTACACACACACGTGTACACACACACACGCGCGTACACACACAGGTACACACACACACACGCGTACACACACACGTACACACACACACGCGTACACACCCCACGCGTACACACAAACACGTACACACACGCACGTACACACACGCAACACACGCACGTACACGCGCACGTACACACACGCAACACACACACGCACGTACACACACGCGTGCACAAGGACACAAGCACAAATGTACACACGGCACACACACCAGAACACACGCGTGCGAGTGCATACAAAGACAAAGATCCACCGTGTAGACTGAACAGACTGTAGGGGCAAGTGCTGTTAGCGAGCACCTGTGAAGGCCGGCACCGCACACGAGGGGGTGGCTGACCAGCGACACGCCCGGCCGCCTTTGTCTCCCTAGTGACGGTGTTTACACATCGCACCAGGTACTCATTTGAGGCTGAGTCGACCTAGGGGAGTGCCAGGACCGATTATTCTGCCCTGGGTGAACGGATCATGGTGATCAGCAATTGCACTACCCACACTGCTCACTGCACACACCCATACCACACACACACGGTTATTCTTTTTGTCTTTTGCTTTTTTAGTTCTCCATTCCCCCCCGTACCTCGGATTATCACGGGGAGCTGCGTACGGTGTGACAGAAGTTCAACATACGTATTTACGCGCACGTGCGCACAGCGCATTACTAAAGCCTTCCTCAAAGTTTTACCTTGAAGTGAAAATGAATCTCGCCCACACGTGGTCTTAGAAGCGGCGATGGTAAAATGTCAGGCTATGCAGATGAGTTTTAAAAGAGTGGTATCTTTTCTGTTTTGCTTTAAGGAAATGTTTTTATGCATGCACACCACGTACCAGCACGCCATGCTATTATGCTACGTCTGCTATTCTTGTTTCCAGCGAAGGCATTCAATACTTAGCATTTGAATTGGCTTAGAGTCACAATATTCCATCGGCGTCCGGCGCCCGTGGCTTATGGGTTTTACTGTACCGCTGTGCATACTTGTGAATACACTGTACGTTGAATATTAATTATTCGAACGCCAATCTTTGGCCAGCAGCCTCTTTGTCCAACGGGGAATTTCACATCAAACTCGGGATGGGTCTTCGTACTGTTCACACCTTTCAAAAAGCCACCCTTTTGGTTTGCAACGTTCATCGTCCCTACGCGGCACCGTTACATTGAACGGGCGGTGCGGTGGCACAGTGGGATAACGTCAACTCGCAATTTGGAAGGTCGTTCCAGCAGGGCTAAGACTCATAATCGTTATCCTTCGGGATGTGCTCAACTAAGCTGCGCTTTGAGGGAAATTAACAGTGGCCGTCCTATTAGAGAGGCTGGTCTCCGTCTTTGGACCGTGGAATTTCCACCACTGACTCGGGACCGCCAATGCAGAAAAGGGGCACTCGTTTTAATCTTGCGCTGGGTATGGGAGAAATATTGTGGCGCTATACGCGGCTGAAATGCATTGATTGCCTTGCCGATGTGCCCTGTTTTTTTTTTTACGGGAACGTGTGCAAATATTGGATTAATATCATGTTGAATCAATTATATAGATGTCGGAAAAATAAAAAAATCCTACAAAATGCAGAAGTTGTACAGTACAAGAAGAAGGAGCAGTTCATGTTCTTTGTGTCAGGTTGTAAGTTTTTTTAAAGAAACACTGTTGCATTTGTCAATACCTTTCTACGCGCGTCATATCAAAGCAAAACTGTCAAACGTCCACTGTTCTGTTACTTGCAGGCACTCGCATCATTCGTCCCGCTGTGTCTGTGTCCATCGTAAAGTGATGGTAGCCAATTTGTTGTGAATTAGCACCGGTTGGAGGGTGACGCCATAAGCAAGTATGCTGCTAAATGTAAATAACAATTATATATAGGATAATTATTCACCTTTTTGTTTTCCAGCCAACAGCAAAGATCCGGATGAACCAGTTCTGGAGTTCAGTCTTGGTGAGAAGCCAAATGACCCGCATTTCTCCTGCACTTTGACCAGTTCTTTGGCACGTGTCCCGCGATTTATTGTTTCAACTCGTTCCCACTTGACCACTCGCCGTTGAGTAACCCTTGGCCGATTTGCCGTCCGGCAGCATGCAGCGAAATCGTGACATCGTCGCTGGATCGGCGACCGAGCCTGTTCGTGTCCGTGAGCGTCACGACTCCACCACAGGCTTTCTGGACCAAGCACGCGCAGACCGAGATCATAGAGGTGAGCGCATAGGGCGCGCAAACCCTCTCGGAGATGCGTACCGGTGCGGAGGGTGATAGCGGTGGTGGTGATTGTGCCGCCTTGACCTTGCGCGCCCAGCTCATAAACCAACTCGGATTGAAAGGGTGACTCTACCTCTCTGGCCTCTCTTTGTGCTGTGAAGAAAGGCAGTTGCCTGAAACGTCACCGATGCTGCAGGTTACCCTCTCTTTATTGCGGTAGATGCATTCCACATAAAGAGCGCACAAAGGCAAATTGCACAGCATAGACCGCACAGTCACCTAACTCCACAATGCGTCACACGAGACAGCTGCCTGCCAAGTAGCGCATACAGCGCACACACAATGTTGTCCCACGTTTCGTTTGCGCAGCCGCATATGTTTGAATTCAAACCGCATATCGCGAATTTTGGGTCGTAATAAGTTCGCCACATACATATGCAAAATTGCACAAACCGAACCCATATAAAGTGAGGGAAACCTATTTATCTATAAAGGCAGTGTTAATGATTTTGTGTTAAGTGTTGTTGTGCACCACTGCCAATGCAATACCTCCAAATAATTTGTCTGATTAAAATGATTGGATACGAGGTGGCCATGTGGGTTAATGTGAGATCGTGGGTTTGAATCCAGGCAAACATTGGCTTCTTTTGAGCTGCACTTGAGACAAGCAGCAGTCTGTGTGTGTGACTGCAGCTTCATTTCCTACAGAGGGGACAGGGATTGGTTGTTGTGGCTCTTGTGCGATTGTGGTGGGGAAGGGAAGTGCTTTCACCCATGTCATCGTTGTGGTACGTACGCCTTGTGGCTTAGCATTCAAGGGAATGTAAGTATAAACAAGCAATGTTTTACAAAACGTACACAGTGTCGAGTGTAACCTGTTTCGTTTTTTTTAAATATTGTCTGCTGCTTTTTACCATCTATGAAAGTTGTCTGCAATTTTTTTTGCACATTTCATCATCGACCGAAGATATTCTGGCTTCCCCCCTGCTGCTTTGTAGAAGCAGGAAGTTGACACTTTCATAATTGTCGTGACATAAAAACGTAGACGAGATATTTCTGTTTATTGTAACGGTCGCCTACATGTACACCCAACTGCTGGACGGGGAGACAAAGGGATGGCAGTAGATATACAGCGTGCGAGTGTGGATGTGAATGGACATTAGAGTTTATTTTTTTAACAAAGGCGGCGAGTCACGCTGTTGTAAGAGTGCGCACGCTGTGTGCTGCGTTTCTATCACGTCCGCCCTTTTCCCCCCTTTCCCCCCTGATGCCTTGCAGGGAACCAGCACTCCGATCTTCCTGAGCAGCATTGCGTTCCTGCCAGACTCGCAGGCCACGCAGCTCACGCGCGTGCGCCTCTCGGTCTACGATGTCAAGGACAGGACCCAAGGAATGGTACGTGCGTGCATGCGGACGGATGGTGCCAAGTGCCACCCTCCCCACTCTTCGCCCCAAACACAAATAAATTATCCCACGGTCATGAAAAGTCAAGGACGTGTCCAAGACGTGATTCATATTCTCGGTTGCGAAGCACTTTTTAAAAGACACTCGTGCAAGCTGAAAAAAAAAACCTCCTTAAGTGTTTGGCGTTTGCAATTTTTCCTGCCTCTCTTTGGTGCTATTGGTGACTGGTGCCATCAGTTATGTTATGACGGAGGTGAATAAAAGTTAACGATGGAAATGACATGGAGGACATTGACAATGCTGACGATGGTTCTAATGTTTTACTAATGACAGCCTTTGTTCTTTATTGTTGTCGTCTGTTAGATGTACTTACTGGGAACAGCATTGTTTACCATCAAGGACCTGTTAAGTTCCAGAAACCACCGCCTGCATATTACATTAACGTGAGTCCTTCCTTGTCTCTCCTTTCCTTCCGCCTTTCATCCTGTTCACCCTTGACACACGCCAGCCCAGTTACTACTCCCAACGGACGCCGGTGCCGCTTTGCAGGCGTCCCATGTTTATATTTATAAATTTAGCTCGGCCTCACTCTCGCTCAAATCCCTCGAGAAATCTCAAAGGCCCGGCCCTCCCGTGTCAAATTACCACCAGCCGTAACATTTGTGCTCTGGATATAAATATTAAAAAAAAAAAATCTAAACGGGTTTGGCCGCAGCTTGGGGTTTGGTCCTGCTGATGCTTGGGGGGGGGGCGTGCCCCGCCGTGTCACCCGTGCCACAGATCGCCGGAGAATGAGCGAGTAGGCAACATCTCGGTAATCGGCTGGCAGATGGAGAGACACGAGGAGTCTCGCACCGCACGGAGGGGCTCTCCCGACAACAGCCGGGTACGTGTGTGTGTGTGTGTGTGGACGCATGCCCTCGCCGCCATCATTCCACCTCAACGCCTCTGATGGTCAATCACTTTTTCACCGTCGTCATTGCTACCGGCATTATCATCGTTGTTGTCGTCGTCATCGCAGTGGTAGGCATTCTCTCACAGAGCCAAGGTTTGTCAATGTATCACCTGATCATCGAATGATTGATCTGAAATAAGTCACTCTTGATGCACTATTGTACGGTTGTGTAAGACGGACCTGTTGGAGTGATTTTATAAGTACAGTATTTTTGGGTGTCCTCTTTCAGAGTTGTTGCTCGAGTTGATTTCACGCCCGCTGTGGGGAGCTGTAGAAGGAAATTTCCTTGGCCGATAACAGGATTCGGTGCGTTAGGGTTGTGGGTCATGCACTACACTTAGATTGTTATTGTTACCATTGTGTTGTGATCGCTTGGTCCTACAGACGGTGCTGGCTGTGGATGAAAGCTTGGCAGAGTCTATGGGTGTTCGGGCCAAATATTCATCCCTACGCAAAGACACGCTGCTGAAATCTGGTAATTCGTGTGCGTAGAAAAAAGCCAATGAATGATTTAAAGAGAGATGAGTATCATCATAGCCCTGTTTTAAATAAAATTTACAAACTGGAATGTTTACCCCCTTTCCCCGCTCCGAGACGTCTGCAGGTTGTGCAGGGTGGGGTCCCGTTCACCTCTGTATCTCGTCAATTTTATTTAGAGAGGCATTGCACCGTTGTTTTTAAAGACACTGTCCTCACCGCAGAGAACTGTCGCGACACGGCCGCGCTCTCTGATAGCTGGCGCCAAACTGTGCCACACGCTCTCCCGCAATGGCCCTGTGGGAGCCATCGGTACGTCTTCTGACCTGAAGACGTACCGATTAAAGTTATTTTATAACAATAACGTGTATTTTATAACAATGTCGTACACGTATGTCATCGGAATGGGAAAGGGTTAACTGTGGTGCAGCCGTTTATACTGTTGGGTGGACAGGAGGAGGGTATAAGAAACCTGTACATTGTTTCAACTGCCCCACCAGGAGAATTAACTCTGATAATAACCATTACACCACTGGCAGCATCCCCTTTTGTGCTTGTCACAAAATACATTTGTGCCTAACTGGTGTCTTTACCTAGGTAGCGTAAGTGAACAACACGATTTATTTGATTCGGGCAAATGCGTTTGTGCTTTGTTAAAGATTTTATAAACTTTTTTGCGGGGGCGGCAGTGATCGAGGGCGTGATTTACCGCACATACCGTCTCCCCACGACGGACGGGAACCAGCTGCGCGTGCACGAGCAGATGGGCGAGACGCTGCTGTCGTTCCACGTACCTCGGCAGCTGCTGGCGCTGTACGTGGAGGAGGACAGCGCCCGGTCCGTGAGCGCACGCACACACGCTCGCTCGCTCGCCGACACACACGCGTTTACACGCCTCACCTTTACTGCCGTCTTATGAGAATCGGAATATTTATTGATGCTGGAGGAATGCGATGAGCTGGAAGGCTCTTTTAGAAAGGACTTTCTCACAGATGTCCAGTAGGGTGAGCGAATATGCCGGTGCATATATTCGCTCACCCATCTACACACCTAACAAAATACCCACATAACCACGTGTATTCGCATACCCGCTCGCCAATCTGCACGCCTAACCCACATAACCACACAATTGCGTCACCCACATACTCATCTACACGCCCAACCATATACCTAAGAAACCAATCATGCCCTTACGCACATACACAGCCTTGTAAACACCCATTCAGGCAATAGCATTTTCACCACACACTATGTCTGCATGTGCACCCAGATAAACACAAGTATGCCTTAGGAAGCATCAAACATAAGATGCATGGTGTGCGCACACAGATGAATTCCTGTACCAGTAGCAAGCACCTGTGCAGGGTATTGAATCGATATCCGGTCTAATTAGTCACAGGCACAGACGCTGGCTCCAATTCCAAAAAAGTCGCAGCTGTTTAAAAAAATAAGATTCGTAACTCCTCCCCCCCCCCCCCCCTGTGCCCACCCTCCTCCACGGGCACGTGTTGCTGCTTGATAGCAGTCCTCTGAGGTTTATGGCTCACAGTTGTTTGGGTTTTTTTTCTTCCCCGCAGCCCTTTTGGGATGATTGGGGGTGGGGGGCGGGTTCCTATAACCGAGGCTGCAGGGTCATCCTCGTAGGGTTGATGACAGCTGCTCTTGAGCGAGTGCCTTGTGTGCATCTGCGTCCGGTGCCGGCTTGCCCCCGGAGGTCATTGCAGGCTAAAGTCAGCACCGCACCTCATTGGACCTGTGGTTCATGGCAGTGCCCCGGGGAATTGATGTGGCCGATCTTTTCTACCGGGCCACTTGGCCCCCACACGTCCTCTACTGGCCTTAATTAGTGCCGGCCTTGCCGCTGCATTGCCAACAGGGGAAGGGACGTTGTGTTATCCGTTGTTCATGTTGATATACAATTCGTCTAACTGTCATACACACGAATGTAAGCTATGCCAAAAAAGGAAGATAAACTATATATCTGTAGAAGCACATTTTACTGTATGTTATTCTACAACTACACGATCGTCAACGTTTACATTATAATGATTATATTACCAATCGTTAATGGCGCAGTTTAATCTACTATACAAGTTATGCGAGCACATGGTACTATTGTGTATATGGAGCAGTCGTTAAGTGGTTTGCACACTGCGTTAAGAACCTGTGAACGTGTTCAACACCGGGTCATGGACAACGTCATTGGCAAGTGGTATCTCAATCTGTCCTGGAGCTGCTCCAGGTTGACAATCTGCCTTAAAAGGAGCACCTCGTGCAGTGCATAAGCATCAGCACCGGGGTAAAAAGACGCTTTAGTGTGGGGCTGGCCTCACCGCTTCATTCTGTTCTCATCATCGGCCATGGTCAATCCACTGCTGGATTAAGGCCTCCCCAAGCCACCACCTCTCCTCTGTTTCGTGCCGTGCCCGCCTTAACAGGTGCTCGCCAATAGATCCGTGCACCATCAATTTGTGTGGCCGGACTGGGATGTCGTTTCTGCGCGCGTGCAGAGTCTTGGCTTTGGAGGAGCTGGGGGAGTTGTCTCCTCACTGGGAGGGCCTCCGCAGGCAGATGGTCATGCAGTACACGTCCATCATCAACACCTACCAGGAGAGCCAGCGCGAGCTGAACAGATACAAGGGCACGTATTGCACCCGCTGGCGTGTAGCTTGTTACTGACATTACCCTTGTAGAATATACTACGCCTTACATGTACACTACCCCGTATGCCATCCCATACATCAATCCCATACACGTACGCTCTCGCGACACCAGACCACCACACACTGCTCAAAACGTTATCCTACGCACAAGGACACAGATCCCCTTGTATAGCCTTTAACAGGCTGTTGGGGCACGTGCTATTTGCTAGCACCACGGCACACGATGGGGTGGGTGGCCAACACCACGTGTCTCACCAGTGGTGATGTTTACACACAGCACAAGATACTCCTTTGAGGCCGAGTCTACCTAGGAGAGGCACAGGATCGGTTCAGATAATCGTCACGCACTACATACTTGCACATACATTGACCCGCACGATGCCCCACACATACCAACTCCACCACAGCAGTCCACACGTTATCTAGGGCAGCGGTCACATGGCCGAGCGAGAGCGCGTTTGTCGCTTGCTGCGGTGGTTTGTAATTTCGAGCCCCAAAGCCATCCTGGTTAATACTGCGACTGTATTAACCAGCGTGTGTTAACCCAGCGCAAACTGATATGCGCTGTTTGCTTCGCAGTGGGATGTTAACGATCCTGTGATGTTATTTGAAAAACAAGTGGTGCACGTGTGCTGGCGGTACAGGTCAAATTTGCCCATGTTTGAAAAACCACTTGCAAATTACTTACTTGGGTCAATTCGTATAGCAGTGTCACACCTGACTGGCAGACTGTACCCGTCTGAAATATAGGGTGTTTTTCGTGATAGCTGGGCACTATGAGAACGGTGCTAACATCAAATGTATTCAATTATTATATTCCAACGCACTATACCCGACACACCATGAACTGCTGGTCCTCGTATCCACACCAAATTTCATAACCACCACGTCACTCAGCACCGCCACACCCTACCCCACTGCACCGCTCGAAACACCGCCCGGTGGCGGCAAGCATGCACCCTCCGTGGCAAAGGGGCACGTCCCGCCATGGCGCGGCGTATGAGATTAGCAGCGACGGCGGGCTTAACGCGAGCATCTAAAGCTCCGTGTTGACGTGCTCCCCTCTCTCTGCCGGCGGCGGCGCCGGCGGTGGTGGAACAGGCCCGTCGTTCAAGCCGAGCCGGCTGCGCACGGAGCGGGGGCTGGAGTTCGTCCCGGTGAACCTGCACATGCAGCGCATGCGGGTCATGGACGACGTGCACACAGGTGTGCCTCCCCCCGCCTCGCAGTCGCTCGTCCGTTCACACTGTACACGTGATCGCCGTCAGCGAACATCATGAAAATTCTTGGGCACGTTTTCGTGACGGGTGCTGCAAGATTCGGCCGTGTCCGTCCGGTGCTCGCTGAGCTGCATTGGCTTCTGGGTTTTCTAAACGAATGCATTGTGAGGTCGCACTCATTGCTCACAAAGTGCTTGCCACGAATGAACCAAAGTACTTTGCATAAACAAACCATCACGCAAACTCCGGTCACCCTCGCAGCGGGGTTTTGGCTAACCATCGAACAAAGACGGTCACTGCATCGCGCGCATTCAGATGTGCTTCTGCGGCCATCTGGAACGCTCTTGCTTCTGATATTAGGAAGCCACCGGAGCTATGAACTTTTAAATCTAGATTGAAAACTTATACTGGTAGGAACCTCCTGGTTACACCAGCCCACAGGGGATTATTGTGTCCGTCGTGCATCCAAAAATGGGAGGGGAGGGGTTGGGTGGAGAGGGGAGGGTGGGGAGGGGCTGGGTGGGGAGGGTGGGGCTGGGTGGGGAGGGTGGGGCTGGGTGGGGAGGGTGGGGCTGGGTGGGGAGGGTGTTGAGGGGCTGGGTGGGGAGAGGAGGGTGGGGAGGGGCTGGGTGGGGAGGGGCTGGGTGGGGAGGGTGGGGAGGGGCTGGGTGGGGAGGGTGGGGAGGGGTTGGGTGGTGAGGGTGGGGAGGGGCTGGGTGGTGAGGGTGGGGAGGGGCTGGGTGGTGAAGGTGGGGAGGGGCTGGGTGGGGTGGGGAGGGGCTGGTCACCCCGTGGTGCCCTTATAAAACTCAACGTTTAACCTACTCACGCCAGCTTGTGCCCGCCCTCACAGTCGGGCATATTTGCGGAATACACCACACCGCCGTTGACCCTGGCCATTGACCGAGCAACTCAACGTTCCTACCAGCTCCCGCCGCAGGAATGTGTTTATTTAGAACTGCTCCTTTGTGTTTACTTTGTTGTCCTTCCCCACACCTTCGATTCGCTCGGTTGGCTACATACTGTACGAAAGATGCTCAACATACATACTTCCACGAAGTAAAACAACTTGTCAAAGATCCAAATTGTAGTCGGAGAAACATCCCAATCCATACTTAACCAGTTGCCTTATTTTAGGGCCGCTTCTAATGTGTCTGTATCACAATTTCCTGTGCGACCACAATCCCCACCCGCACAAAGCTAAACCCATTCTTTGAAACCACATAACAGCTCTATCTATGAAATGTGTGTGTGGCATTTCCTTAAAAAAATACATGGCCACTGTTGCAATAAGACCCCAGCAGTTCATGAGGAATTTAATAAATAGAACATGCCACATCGCACAACCATGCTACACTGTACTGTAATTACTTATTGAAAAGTCTTATTACATTTTGATTTAAAGCTTTCGTGACTGCAGTAATTCATATTCTTAGCTCTTTCGGTAAAGTCACGTTGAAGGGAAACAATAAAATAATAAAATATATATAAAACAATAAAAATTATCACGTTTCGACCATAACACAAACGGTCGTCATCACACACCTGATGACGACCGTTTGTGTTATGGTCGAAACGTCGTGAGAATTTTTATTGTTTTATATATTTTATTATTTATATTTTATTATTTTATTGTTTCCCTTCAACGTCACTTTACCGAAAGAGCTAAGAATAAGTCTTATTACAGTGCACATTTTAAATGGTAAATATGGAGCTAATTTTAATTAAGTTATTCATGGTTTTATTCTACAATGGGGGTTCTGCTTTGATGTGGCATAGAAGCTTTGAGGGCCTTGTATACCTGAGTAGCTCTATCCTGGGCAGGGCACCCGTCGCAGTCAAGGACAAAGCGAGATGAAATGAGCGCATCAACCTGCAATGACCAGCGTGGTGAAGTACGGTCAATGAATCCCCACGATAAATGAAGTGTGTGACGTGTTAATCACGTGTCGGTATAATACAGAGTAGGTTTTTCAATAATATATTATTTACAATATTCTGGACCTCCGGTGTCACTGCTATAGGTTTTACTGTAGTCATTAGCAGTACTTCACCGCGCTTGTCAGCATTGATCGGTGAAGACGGGGGCCCAGGACTAGTGACGATATCACTCAACATTGATGTTAGCCACCGTTAAACATGTAACTCATGAGTGTCACTGTAGGTTGCTGAAGTCACACCAGACCACTGTTGACATTGATACATTACAGCGTAAGGGCCTTTAGCAACTCGTTGAATATCCAAACATTAGTGACAGGGGAAACATCCCAAGCCGTCTTGCACATCTGCCTTGTTTATGGTTCTCCGCCTCGGCTCAACACATGCTGCAATATGGTCAAACAATTGTGACGAATTGCACGTGTAAGTGGCTGACGGGAGAGCAGAAGAGCCTCTTTGGTGTTTCATTCTTGCCGTTGTTACGTTTCAGATCACACGTATGACATCGTGACGGTGGGGGCGCCTGCAGCTCACGTGCAGGGATTTAAAACCGGGGGCCTGCGGAAGCTCGTGACCAAATTTGAGGAGTCGAAGAAAAGGTGACCGAAACTGGATTGGAAGCGCGCACACATGCACACGCGCTTATGCTCAGATATATACATTCGCTCACAAAGAAAAAGATCCCCCAGCCAAGCTTCAACAAACTGTTGGGGCAAGTACTGTTAGCAAGGCATACTCGGGAGTGGTGTAGCTATCATCGCACCCAAGCAGTCTTTTGTCTCCCTAGTGCTGATGTTTGCACACTGCACTGGGCTCTCATTTTAAGCTGACCAAGTGTCAAACTGTTGTCACCCGGGTTCTAAGCGCAGTGCCCTCGCGCTGCGTCACCGCTACTCGCATTAACGCACAACGACACGCGCGCAAATATACGTACGCACAGGAAAGCACGTGCACTCCCACGCAGCATAACGCTTTCAAGGTCAGCTGTTTGTATTTCTCCACATTTGCAATGATATGTTAGTTCAGTAAAAAAAACTAGATATTTAAATTGCAATCATTGAGTGTTAATGTCCAGCATTGACACCTTAAAATTTACTTTCAAGCAATTCAAGATGCGTATATACGACATTTTTCGCAATGGCCCAGTTGACACGGCTTACGTCAGAGGTGAGTGAAATGTAAACTGGTCCCGGGCCCCATTCATTATGCCTTGGCCAGCGCGGTGAAACAGAAGTTGAATGGCTTGGGGAGCCCATTATCCAGCAGTGGATCGGAAAAGGGCTTGAAAATAAGAGAACAAAATGCCGGGTTGACAAACGGTAGCTATGGCTACACCGTGTTCTGCCTGCTCTGGGTCTACCAGGCGAGAGCTAATTGACATGGGGCGCATTGGAATGACAAACCACGAGGGCAGGCACGTCTCGCTGTTAGTCACTTCTGATTAATTCGATTCATCCTAAAAAATGCTCATGCTGTGTTCCACCATACTCCCAAACAACACTCCGTTGCATTGCCTGCTTCCCGGTGCGCATCTGCGGCCGTCTGACACGCACTTCCTTCCGATATTAGGAAGCCACTGGAGCTCCAATTAGCGTGGTTGGCAACATACGAAGTTCAACATACAATCAATCCCCATGTGCTTTCCGTATCCCATATTGCTCGTCTCTCGCGTATCCCGTATCCCTCATGTTGCCACCACGCGCCTATGTGACTTCAATGAGTGCCTGGTGCAGTGAAATATTGTTATGCTTGTTTACCCAGAAATGTGTCGCTGAGTCTCAAAACGCTTTTTCCAGAGGATCCTGCTAATTGTTTGCAGTAAGGCTCGGTGTTGCTGCGTGCAATCCAATTTGACTAACATGCAGATAATTTACAGCTTCGTGGATGTTTTGGCCAATACAATTCACGTTGTGTGTACATCATAAACCATCACAAACATCAGCACCGGGGAAGACGATGGTAGTCGGGCAATGAATCTCGCCACACCACTGACGCTCGCCTCCCCTATGCCACGTGTCCCCCCCCCCCCCCCCCCCCCCGTGTCATCGCTCTTCTCGCCGCGCCCAGCCCGGCGATGGGCTCGCGAGCGAGCGCGTGGCGGCCGCAGGACGTGGCGAAGGCCCGCGAGCTCAACGCACAGATCACGGCGCTGCGCACGCAGGTGGCCTACTACGCCGAGCGGCTCTCCCGCGCCGCTCGCGAGCGTTCGGCGTGCGGCCTGGAGCGCACCCTCGCCAGCCTCGCCGACAAGGTGGGGGGGGGGGGGGGGGCCCGCGCTCGGCGCACGCGTTGTGCAGGCTAGCCACCAAACGTGGCCGGTTTTTTTCCGGGCTGATGATGATGATGACGATAATGACGATGACGTCTCGTTGTTGCCGCTTCGTCGTCGTGTCTTTGCGCAGACCCGCCAGCTGGTGACGGTGTGCGACTGCAAGCTGCTGGGCGGTGCCGTGCACTCGCTGGCGTCGGCGCGCCCCGACTTTGTCGCTTCCGTGCCGAGCCCGCCCGGCGAAGCGAGCGGTAGCAGCGGCAGCCCCGGCGGCAGCGCCGGCGGCAGCAGCTGCGGGGGCGGAGAGGACGGCGTCGAGGACAGGGACCGCGTCGTCCTGCGCAACGATCGCGACTCGCTGGCGGCTCGCTGGACGGGCCGCGAGAACCGCGCCTCGCTCACCTTGTCCATCGCGTCGTCGTTCGCGTCCCTGATGACGGTCGGGAACGCGGCCGGCACTTCGGCGGTGTGCGGCGGCGAGTGGCCCGAGGAGGAGTGGGTGCGTGTGTGCAAGTGTGTGCGAGTGTGTGCGTGTGTGTTCAAGTGTGTGCGTGTGTGCGTGTGTACGTGCGTGTGTACGTGCGTAGTGGGGAACGGTCGTGCATCGATTGGTGCGCTGCCCTGTGAACCCGGCGATCCGAGTTCGATTCCCGCTCACGGCCAACACCAGTGACGATTATCTGAATGGGTCCTGGGTCTCCCCTAGGTCGGCTCAAATGAGTACTTGGTGTAATGTGTAAACATCACCACTGGGGAGATAAAGGTGGCTGGGCGTGGTGTTGGCCACCCACCCCATCGCATGCCATACTGGCCTTCATCAGTGCTCGATAACAGCACTTGCCTTAACAGTCTTTTCATGGCTATATGGGGAATCTTTGTCTCTGTGTGTGCGCCTGCGTACATGCTTTGTGTGTTTTTGTCATGTATCTACATACATGTTTTGTGTGTATGTGTATGGGGAGCGATGACTTAGTGGTTAGCGTCGTGCACCATGAACCGATCGTGGGCCTCCCGGAGAGTGATTCAGCCTTAACTGAGTATCGTGTGCGGTGTGTCAACATCAGCGTTGGCCACATCACCAACATTTAATATTAATAAATTGCATCTTCATATGGGCATCCTGAGAACTCTATATATTAATTAATTAATGCATCCAAGCTGAAAACATTATATCTAAGCAGTAATGTTATCTTGAAAGCAGACATTACATTAAATCATGTATATTGACGAGCTAAACATCAAACTAATCTCACTTCCTTAGTTGCAGGTGGTTAGCGCAATGCACTATGAAACCGGTGATTTGATATTAGAATCACGGGCAAATAAAATCAGTGGCGATTGGCGAGCGACGTCTGAACCACTCCTGGGTTTTCCCCCCACACCAGTCGGCACCGAGAAGCATGGTTAAGTATGGTGGCCTGGGGGGGAGGTAGGCCTTCATCCAGCAGCGGACATATTTAAACACTTGTGACCAATCGAGCAGCTCGATTTTTTGTTGCAGCTGTGGAACGATCATGAATGAATAAACGAACGGGACGTGCGTGCCGTTCCGCGCCGGTCTTGCCCGCGTGCCCTGCAGAGCAGCGTGTGGCTCAACGTGGACAAAAGCCTGGACTGCATCATCAAGGCGGTGGATCGCCTCCTGCAGCGCGAGCGCCGCTGCAGGCAGGAAGGCCAGGCCAACGTCTCCGACGATATCTTCTCCTCGGCAGAGCTGTCGGCATCGTCCCGAGTTGGGAGTACGGTGCCCCCCCCCCCTCCCTCCGCTTCAAACATTGCATCAGAGTCGGAATGTAAAAAAGTTAGAACCGACTAAACAAAACTACGAACTGTTTTTGTGTTACCAAGGGCAAGGCCCACTGAGCTATATAGCTCTTTTTCAGAAGCAACCTGACCACAAAAGAGAGCTCAATGAAGTGGCTTATTATGTGGCTATTTATAGCAGCCAATACTCTTAAACGCATGTTTCTAAATGTGGAGGGAAAAACCGGAGGACCTGGAGAAAAATCCACACGACCACAGGCATCAGGGGTTGAACCCACGACCTCCTGTATACCAGGCAAGGTAGTTAACATCTCGCCACCGTGGCGCCCCAAAGCGGGGGTTACAAATATTATCATAGCCTTAGCAGGGGTCACTAATATTCTTGAAGTTGGAGCCTTACTAATGTTCTCAAGCAGGCGAGAGAGGCTAGACTTGCTTGGATGGTGTGGCATTGCGTTGGAAAGAAACAAAGAAATGCAATCAGAAGGGCTACGGAGCTCAGAGACCCATAGACTCACACACAGCCCCACACATAAGGGCTGTGGAGATGCCACCCGTGCAGGGCACAAGCATTGGGAGACTTGAGGGTCAGATGCAGTGGAATGAGAGATTGAGGGCAGTGGGTGTGACGAGGCCCCCATGCAATAATGGGGGACTTTTGGCTTCGAAGAAGTTCAAGGAATGTAAGCCATCATAACGTGAAAACCGGTCATCCTCGCAGCGTCTTTTGCCTAGCCATCAAACAAAGATGGTCACTGCATCGCGTGCTTTCGGGTGTGCTTCTGTGGCTGTCTGGAACACTCTTCCTTCAGATATGAGGAACGCCACTGGAGCTATGCACTTTTAAATCAAGGTTGAAAACTAATTTCTTTAAAATAGTGTTTTAGTTTCTTGTCCGTCCCCTGCACCTCCAATGAGCACGGTTTACTATGTATGGTCCAAAATAAGTTCAACATACATACCTACAAAGTTTCCAAATGTTGCATTATGAACAGGGTAATGCGTGGCTAACAAGGCCGCAAGGGACATCTGGGATAGCCCTAACTGCGGGAATGGTGCAGACTTTGGCAGATACTGTGGAGGTCTGACCTCTGAGCAGACTGGATGAATGACTGAGAGCACTGAGGGCTGTAGATGATGAAGCTTTATTTCAGTTTCTTTATTATTATTTTTGTATAACCCTGTGAGCCATTCAGCTCTTGAATAGGGTGCAACCACAACAAACAAAAAAACAAAAACACGAACAGGAAAACATCTTAAAGTGACTGTGTGACTGTGCAAACAGAAAATCCATGAAAAAAACCCAGCTGTGGTCCGTCTTGATCAAGTGGGTGCACGCTGTAAGAAGAAGATCGCAGCATTGCATTACTCTCTTCACCCTGTCGCCGTTGTGTCTCTTGCAGATGGAGGGCTGACATTGGTGGAATTGACACCAAGTACCGGTAAGCATCACACACTGCTGTCTGGGACTGTAGATTGTAGTGTGGCTGGAAATTCAAACAGTGACACATTGGGGGAGCTTTGGATATTGGGGTAGGGTGACACAGGTGTGAATGGCATTCATGGTTGTGCTTCTGCAAACAAGTGTCTGGAATGCAGTGGTGCTTGGGTTGTATTGTAAATTGAGTGTATACACAACTGCCCACTCCCCTTGTCCTCTCAATGTTTTGTTTTATGTTGGCCAAAAACTATTGGCCGATTGTGATTGTGGAAAATGTACGTATGTTGAACTTATTCCGCGCTTATTGGAGGTGTGGGGAAATTGTTAGGCTGATGACGACTTCAGGCTCCTTGCTGTAGTTGAAAGGTCACACTCGTTTCTAGCTCGTCATTGGTTCTTTAGAACCTTGACGTCTGTCTGCAGAAAAGCGTTTTGTGACCACGGTTGCACTGCGATCTCTAAATTGTCCATTGGTGTAGGAGATAGCTGTGTCTGCAGCGCAGCGTACCTCACGCGGTCCAATGCAGACTTTCGACGAATCGACGCGTCGTTACGCGCCCGCCCGTTTGCCTGATCCGCACTCGCGCTTTCGGCGACGGCGGCAGGCGCGGAGTGGAGCGAGACGCTGTACCCGCTGCTCGCCACGCTCACGGACTGCGTGTGCATGCTGAGCGAGCGCGCCCGCCAGGCCGTCACCTTCCTGCTCATGCAGGACGGCGCCGCGTCCGTCGTGCAGGCCCTCGGCCTGCAGCACCGCCGTGACCTCGTCTTCTCGCAGGCCGTAGGCAGCGCACCGCCACCACCCCTTCACGGAGCCTCGCACGCCGCTGAGTCACACTACGCTATCATCGGTGCTCTGCTGCTTATTGTCCGTCCATACAATACACAATGAGGCTGCATTGTTTCATTATGCTGTGCGGCTTAGTCTGTTAGTACAATACACAATGAGGCTGCATTGTTTCATTATGCTGTGCTGCTTATTGTTAGATCAATACACAATGCTGCTGCATTGTTTCATTATGCTGTGCTGCATGGTATATAATGCTAGGCCACATGATGCTACATTCCATTACGCATATCTATAATGCATATCTATAATGAATGCCCTACAGCATGCTGTACTGCACGTCATGTGATGCTTCGCTCCACAGTGCCACGGTACACAATACTGCGTTACGGTTAACTACGTTACTCTTGGCTGTGCTGCACACGTCACGTAATGCCATCTTACACCACGCGAGGTTACGCATTTCACCGACGGTAATGCACACGCGTTGACCTACAGTGTGTTCTGGAACACGTTGTTAGACCACGCTACTTCACATCGTGATACCTTGCACAATGCTATTTATACACGGTGCTATGTTACAATGAGGACATGTATGTGTAGGGGTCCTGGCTATGCACATCTATGATGGCTTCGATGGTGTGAACATTGTCATTATAACCGGGCAGTGGTGGCGGCGCATGACATTAATTCGGGCACTGTGGAGGCAAGGATTGTTGTGAAAATGTGAAATTCCTTTCATGGGGGCATCGAGTAGCCGTAACCCTGGCTTGGCAGGAGAAGGCGGTACATGAAATGTGGACTCCCGCCTTATCCACCTGTTTGGTGTTGACCCCATGGGTTTCGATCTCGTGGGTTTCCTCAGAGTGCTCTGGTTTCCCCCCCCATGTAAACACTCAGTAATTGGCTGAAAGCATCTTCATATCTAGGAGGCCGCAGATTTTGAGCAATTGTTGGTGCCGGCTCACCACACAGCTGCTCTTCCCGCTTTTCTGTGGTTGCCCACGCCCCTGCGTTGTTCCCTCTCTTTGACAGTGACGGAATTAATACTGCGCGTTACAAGTTGAAATTCTCCTGATTTTTTGCATTTCGTTTTTGCAGTGTTGACCCTTGAAATCTTGTAAATAGGCAACTCATATGTAATATATTCCTCAGCAGGTGCATATTGCATGAAAGCGCATGCTATTTTGCGAATCATTAAATCACACCTGCAAAGCGCAACCATAAATAGGCATCGCGATGCATTCACGTCAAAGCAGCTAAAAACGGCCAAGAAAAAAATCCTGAAATATTCGGCGTGGATTTTTTTTTTGGTGGTGTTGTTTTGCAAATCATTTAACCTCACCGTATGAGCAGCAAACAACATAAATGCATAGGATTGGTGTGCATTTAGATCCATACCTCCTTGCTTTGTGTTTGACAAAGAGGAGAAAAATATTAAACGTTATTTCACGTATTTTTTTTTTTTTGCTTTTCCTTGCAACCCTGCCCGGCACCTCGTTCCCCCGCTGACCCCGCGTTTTCACAGCTCTCAGCTCTCGTGTGTGGATTCATCGTGAAGCTACGCAGCTGTCTCCATGACGACGGGTTTCTACGGCAACTGCACACCATCGGGCTGCTGGCGCAGTTCGAGGGGCTGCTAAGCACCTACGGTTAGAGGCTCGGGGTCACAGGTCGTCGCCTTTGGCATGGACGAATGGCAGAACAGCATGCCTTAACACAGCCTGTAATGACATTGCCAACGTTGCAACGGTGTTAATTTCGTGAATGGAATTAGTGATGAAAATATCCTTCAACGAAGTGTGAGGGGATTGTAATTTTTACCCTCCCCTCTTACTATTATAAGGTCGGCCAATTGGTGAACTGAACCTCCCGGGGTATGCATTACGTTTAATATGCCGATGTCAAATGGGTGAAGCTTCAAGAGCCAATACTTAAAATAATTACATCAATACCATAAAAAAACGCCAAATGTGGTGATGACTATGACTACTAACCAAAGACTGAAGCTTGACAGACCATTGCGAGATAACATTAACTACCGTAATCTGAATGAATTGGTGAGGGGATCTATACCGGATATATATAGTAGAAAATATTTACGGAGTTTACTGATCGGCTGACCTGAGAATATTGAGGGTGATCAATTACACGCCCAGCACACCAACTTGTAAAGCACAGAGAGTGGATTACATTTGTTTGACTGCGTTAGTTGACTGGACTAACCGACTAAAATAAAAAAAAATTTTTTGACTACGTAAGCACTGCAATGGCATTGTGTACAGTTAAATTAAAAAACTAACAGTCATCGTTCTCATAGGGTTATCACTCTCTTGACAGGCGAGGAGATCGGGATGGTGGAGGACATGAGTGTGGGCATCTCCGACCTTCGCAACGTGACCTTCAAGGTCGTTCCCGCGTCGACCACTGCCTCGGCCGAGGGGATGCTGCCGATCATCGACGGGAATCGGTGCGCGCCGACGCGATTGGGGAAACCTTGGCATTGCTTCGACCGCACCCACCGCAGGTCACGGTGCAGCAGGGCAATTTGAAGGCAATCGTTGCCGCCAATCGTCACCGGCAATGGCTGCCACCGTGGGCTCCCTCCCTGCCCCTCACCAACCCAGATTGGCCGGCACGGTCCCGCACAGCCTTTATCTAGCAGTGCATTGGCAAAAGGCGAGATGTTAACTACCTCGCCTGGTATACAGGAGGTCGTGGGTTCGATTCTGACCCTGACGCCTGTATATATATTGAGTCTACATGTTCTCCCCGTGGACACATGGTTTTTCCCTCCACATTTAGAAACGTATTTAGAGTATTTGGCTGCGATAAATTTCCACGTGAAAGCCCACTTTGTTTAACTATCATTTCAAAAAGAGCTCACAGCTCAGTGGGTCTTACCTGGTAACATAGAAATATAAAAGGGCTGCCCATGTACATGAGAGCCCATTAAGGATGAAGTGTTTCTCGCAAGGTCAACATGTGGGAGACCCGTATGAAGTAGCATTGTGGCATGTTCAGAACAGAAATCGGTGCAAAAAGGCCAGTTGAACGGTCTTACAGAATCGTTTTGGTGAAAATCTCTTGTAGTCAACCGTTGTTGGATACTTTGGGGTAGACGTATTTGTAAAAAGCGTTGGCCTTGCTGTTGACGTCGTCGTTGTCATTTTCCGAATGCAGGGACGGCTTCAACGTGCGCATCCCGTTGCCGGCGGCCATGTTTGACGCGTTGCCGCGGGAGATCCAGAGCGGCATGCTGCTGCGTGTGCAGCCGGTCTTCTTCAACGTCGGCATCAACGAGCAGCAGACGCTCGCCGACAAGTCAGCCTCGCCCTCACTCGCCACACACTCCCATCACACTCCCGCGTTAACACTCCCGCACCTCCGTTGAGCACGGTCGGCTACGTACGGTGTGAAAGAAGTTTTCAACGTACATGTATACTTGATTACGGTAACGTTCGATTGCGGTTGAATGTAACAACGGCAATTCATTTGAACCTTATGACGGGACCCCAGGCTCCCGAATAAATGGAAGTAAAGTAAAAAAACAAAAACAAAAAACGCAATTATTTAAAAAAAAATTTGACGACTCCGTCCCACCGCGCACATAAACGCCGCGACCCACCAGAAATCAAGCCTCTCTTTCTTCACCAAGCACCAGCCGTTGCCAAAGTTTCCATAGTAATAAACAAAACTCTGAAACTTTGATTAGCGCATTGTGTAGAGCTCGTTGAGAGGAATAAATAGATTGCCGTATTGTTCGCCTTCAACAGACATAAAATGACGTTGCAACGCAGTTAATGCGAGAGCCCGGGGGCTTATGGGACCCCGGAGTCCCGCCATAAGGTTCATTTCATGCAGTAAATAGCACCCGCATCTCAGTATATGCTACACATTTGAGGGACTAAATAAGGGAATAATGGCAGGGGTGGGGGTAGAGTCAGGACAGAAAAACATGACCAAGAAGGGAGAGAGCAACGCTACAGCACAGTCCCACGAACGAAGCAATCGGAGCCCAGAAATAACAACTTTGTAACGTATGCATCCATGTTGAATTTTTTTTTTGCACCGTACATAGCAAACCGTGCTAATCGGAGGTACGGGGCGAGGACGGCAAACTAAACGCAAAAATCAGTTCTCATGAAACGAGTTTTCAAGCTAGATTTAAAAGTGCATAGCTCCAGTGGCTTCCTCATAAAACAGCTGCATGACCTAGCAAAACAAACATGCGGTGGTATGAGCGGCTTTGGCCGTGGTGACCTCCAGGCCTGGCGATCTGTACGGAAATGGTGACGCACTCGCAGCCAGGGTGTCGTGACCCATCTTTCCGGCGCACGCGCACCGCAGGTTCGGCGACACGTCGCTCCAGGAGATCATCAACCTGGAGAGTTGGGGTCGCCTCAACTCCTACTACGAGCAGTTCAAGGAGCTTCTCCCCGATGACTGTGAGCCACCGTTTCTTTTGTCGCTTTGCCACCGCCGTTCACCGGACCCGAACCCGCATTGGTCTACCCAGCAATGGGGATTTTTTTAAAATTATTATTATTGTTACAAGAAACCATGAACGCAGTTACGATTGACTGAATGGACATTTGGAGTTTGGCACCAAAGTTGTAGAACAGCTTACCCAGAAATATTATATATGTTTATGGGGATTTAACATTGGTCAATGGCGGCCCTGCCAGAGGAATATGGAATTACTGCCACTGGCTTGAGCACCTCCTCAATGCTCATTGAGCTGGACATCACTTTTGACTTTTGATTTTATATATATCCATGTTGCATGTTCATTAATTACCCTACATTGATAGTGTAGGGTAATTAATGAACATGCCAAGAAGATGAATCCCTGCAGTCACGAAAGCTTTAAATCGAAATGATATTGTATTATTGTTATTTTATGCTTCCCCTTCACCCGCTCTCTCCCGCTCGTTGTGCGCAGGCCTCCCTCGCTCCCGTAGCCAGACCTGCCTCTCGGAACTGCTGCGTTTCCTCGGGCAGAACGTGCGTGCACGCAAACCCAAGAACGTGGACATCCTGTGGCAGGCTGCCGAGGTAATGGCCTCCACTTCAGGTCGATGTCTCTTTGCTCACGTGTGTGTGTGTGTGGAGCGCATCGGGTTAAAAGATGAATGCTCGCACCTCCGATTAACACAGTTGGCTACGTACGATGCGAAAGAGGTTCAACATGCATACAGTTGACCAATCTTGGTCCGATGTTCTAAATAACAATTCACTTTGTAGTGGTTTGTCTGTCCAAAAAAAAACCTCTATCTCAAGACATTATCTGGAGGTTTGTGCATTGGGATCTGTGGCCTATTGTTTTAAGGAGTCTTACAACGTAAGTCACGTAATAGTGATATCCATTTCCTTACCTATAAAAGAACCCCTTTGAATCTTACGACAGTTTGTTTTCACTTCCAAGTGTTTTTATTTCACGTGGCATGAAACCGAAGTGACCAGAAGAGTTAATCGTTTTGACGCCGGGTAATGAGATCATACCTGCCTGCCTACAGAGTTTATCGGGAGACGGGAGAAAGAAAACGGCGCTCGTTATTAACCGGCCTTGTTGCACCGCCTCACCCCCCCTAGGCCTGCCGGCGCCTCAACGGCCTGCGGCTCACGAGCTGCAAGAGCGCCAAGGACCGCACGGCCATGTCGGTGACGCTGGAGCAGTGCCTGATCCTGCAGCAGGAGCACGGCATGGCGCCGCAGGTCTTCACGCAGACGCTGGACTGCATGCGCAGGTACAGGCATGCACCTGCATGTGCTCAGACGCAGCACGCGCACGCAAAGACAAAGATCTTCCGTATAGCCTTAACAGACTGTTGCGGCAAGTGGTGTTAGCGAGCACCTATGAAGGCCGGCACGGCACACGAGGGCGCTGGTGGCCAGCACCACCTTTGTCTCTATAGTGGCAATGATTACACATTAAATCACGTACTTATTTGAGGCTGAGTCGACCTAGGGGAGGCCCAGGACTGGTACAGATAATCGTCATTGGTGTATGGTAGCTGTGATCGTGAATTGAACTCGTGTCTCTGGATTCGTAGTGCAGCACGTTAACCGCTAGACTACACACACACATCCACCCACATCCACCCACATCCACGTGCATTTATACATATGTGAGGGAGCCAGTGGGACAGACGAGGTCTGCATCTCAGCCTTTGCCGTGGATTTAAAATTGATAACTCACAAAATATTAATAAAGTGAATGGGAAACGTCAATTTCTGACTTTTTTGCGTAGCCGTTGTCAGTGTGGGTTATCTTGAACAATAATTGTTAGTCGGTTGTTAAGTTTTTACAAGATACCCCTCAATGCATAGTTGGGAAATTGTAAAAAAAATTGGTTTCCTGGTTACATGAGCATCGAGCGGTGTTCATCTCTTGTTTACAGCTCGGAGCCAGTGGTGGACATTATACATTTATATGGCGGGAACGAGTCTTATCTGTCGCACAACCACTGAACTTTCCACAAATTGATACTCATTTTATTTAACCCCTTGAAGGGTGCAGGGCTCGGTTGACCCCTGACCAGGATTTAACTTTAACTTGTAAAACTTCCACTCACAAGCCACGTGCTCTTACAACTTTATACCTACGTGACTTTACCAAAAGAACCAGAGAGTATGGATACCTGCAGTCACGAAAACTTCAAATCTAGATTGGTTTGAGAAATTTAAGGCAGCGACAATTCACTAAATGTCATTAAGGGTCGTGTTAATTGTCATTCACAGTGCACAGTCATTAGTTTTGCCCGTAAAATTATATATCAAGGAAGGCCTTGCTGAGTCTTAAGACTGTTTTTATATGGGAGATTTGGCTATTTCCTTAATGGGTATTTTGCTCATGTGAGTGAACCAGAGTAACAAGAGTAATCCCATGCACATAAGAGCTGCTGTGGTAATTACACCACCCACTTGGGTGGAAAATAACTCTGTGACCACTGGTCATGACAAAAACACAAAGATCCCCCGTGTAGCCTAAACAGACCGTTGGGGCAAGTGCTGTTAGTGGGCACCTATGAAGGCCGGCATGGCACACGAGGGGGTGGTTGGCCAACACCACGCCCGGCCGCCTTTGTCTCCTCAGTGGCGATGTTTACACACCGCACCAGATACTCATTTGAGGCTGAGTAGACCTAGGGGGAGGCCCAGGGCCGGTTCAGATCGTTACCTGGTGTTGGTGACCGTGATTCAGGAGTAGAGCTCGGGTTGCCGGGTTCGTAGCGCGCCAACCGCTGCACTACTGCCGTTCATGACACACACACGCGCCTGAGTATTAACAGTAGTCATTCATGGCCTTCGTGCTGAACTCTCTTGGCCAAGTTGTGTTTTAACAGGTCCCTGCAGGGTGGGCTGATAGGAACATTGGAATTTTTCACTTCGTTAAAGTATTGAAAGGGGACGGACGGACACATTAATCTATTGCAGGCTGGTACACTCAGTTTACAACTGCGTTCCTACCAGTATAAGATGTTATATATTTAAAAAACACACTGCATGTCAAAAGTCAATATCTAAACGTCTGTGCATCTTGTTTGAAATTTTTGTTAAATTAACCAACTAGAGCAGAATATTTTTCTTTCCCGTCTCCCTTCTGATTTTATTTGTTCCCAAATGCACTTTTTTCTTCACTGCAATTAAATTATTATATTTTGCTTCTGCTGAATATCAATTTTTATTTGATTTCAAACCACACAAAGGCATGCCATTTCACCCGAACCACAACAAAACACAACCAAATCCTGCCTACGTTTATTTGTATGTCATTGCTAATCCTTACAAACCATTTGTCTCTCCACAATAATGCTTCATGGGGACCCAACTCTATACATTACTTTCATATTTGTTGATTACTGTACCCTTTGCATTCTGATTCCACGTGACACCTTAAACTTTGCGCTGTCGTCCTCATGCCGTGTTGTTGTCATCATACTTTCTTACGGAACTTTATTTTGTTGACCGCTGCTTCTGAACCCATTTGGGCTACATTTACGAATCCCTTCTGTGACGTAATCACAAAACTCAATTGAAATTCCTCCAATTTACATACATCCGTACACCTTCACCGATCATCCTTCCGACTAAAAACTGAACTTTCATTTCAACTCGCCTCCAACCACCGACTCCAAAAAAATACACAAACCCAATGATCGTCCGGCACTCGCGCACCACCGCGTCACGCTGCGGCAGTGTGGGCACGTGCGAGATGGCCGTGTGGAAGAGCGTGAGCGGCGGCGCCACGTGGCAGGAGCTGTGCGTGGATCCTTGCCTCCTGTACTCGCTGCCGCTGCTGGCGCTCAGCCCCCACATGCTGCTTGCGTGGCTGTGCCTCAGCATGGCGCTGCTGCTCACGCGGTTCCGCTGCCAGTGACTATGGCGCCGCCGCCGACGCCCCACGGACGATGCCGACGATTGAGGATGACGATCATGATGATGGCTTTGGCGATGATAATGACTGTGGTGAATAGGATGACAGCTGTGGTGGTGGTGGTGACTGTGGTGATCGTGGCTGTGATGATGAAGGCGACTGATGATGATTACTATAGTGGTGATGGTGTCTGGCGATGATGGTGACCATGGTTATGATGGTGACTGTGGTGATGATGGTGACCATGGTTATGATGGTGACTGTGGTGATGATGATGACTGGTGAGAGTGATGATGACATAGCGACCATTATGATTGTACCTGGACTCCGTGTTGTCAGAAAGGCAGTTTCTACTGATACCAATTTGACATTTTTCTGCCAAAATTTTTTATTGAATATGTTCTCCACTGGCACGTGAGTTAGGCATAGGTAATTACAATGAAAGTTAATTATCCATGAACCAGGGGTTAAATAAAGGTAAAGAAGGCGTCCCTGGAGGTGGGGAGTGACCTCCCCTGGATTCAGTCTGGGAAGCGGCATAGTCACCCTTGTTTACAGCGAGGGGAAAAAAAGTATTTGATCCGCTGCTGATTTTGTACGTTTGCCCACTGACAAAGAAATTACCAGCCTGTAATTTTAATGGCAGGTTTATTTCAACAGTGGGAGACAGAATAACAAGAAAATCCAGAAAAACGCATGTCAAAAATGTTATAAATTGATTTGCATTTTAATGAGGGAAATAAGTATTTGACATCAGAAAGATTTCTGGCTCCCAGGTGTCTTTTATACATGTAACGAGCTGAGATTAGGAGCACAATCTTAAAGGGAGTGCGCCTAATCTCAGCTTATTACCTGTATAAAAGACACCTGTCCACAGAAGCAATCAATCAATCAGATTCCAAACTCTCCACCATGGCCAAGACCAAAGAGCTCTCCAAGGATGTCAGGGACAAGATTGTAGACCTACACAAGGCTGGAATGGGCTACAAGACCATTGCCAGGCAGCTTGGTGAGAAGGTGACAACAGTTGGTGCGATTATTCGCAAATGGAAGAAACACAAAAGAACTGTCAATCTCCCTCGGCCTGGGGCTCCATGCAAGATCTCACCTCGTGGAGTTGCAATGATCATGAGAACGGTGAGGAATCGGCCCAGAAATACACAGGAGGATCTGGTCAATGATCTCAAGGCAGCTGGGACCATAGTCACCAAGAAAACAATTTGTAACACACTACGCCGTGAAGGACTGAAATCCTGCAGTGCCCGCAAGATCCCCCTGCTCAAGAAAGCACATATAGATACCCGTCTGAAGTCTGCCAATGAACATCTGAATAATTCAGAGGACAACTGGGTGAAAGTGTTGTGGTCAGATGAGACCAAAATGGAGCTCTTTGGCATCAACTCAACTCGCCGTGTTTGGAGGAGGAATGCTGCCTATGACCAAGAACACCATCCCCACCCTCAAACATGGAGGTGGAAACATTATGCTTTGGGGGTGTTTTTCTGCTAAGGGGACAGGACAATTTCACCGCATCTATAGGGACGATGGACGGGGCCATGTACCGTCAAATCTTGGGTGAGAACCTCCTTCCCTCAGCCAGGGCATTGAAAATGGGTCGTTGATGGGTATTCCAGCATGACAATGACCCAAAACACACGGCCAAGGCAACAAAGGAGTGGCTCAAGAAGAAGCACATTAAGGTCCTGGAGTGGCCTAGCCAGTCTCCAGACCTTAATCCCATAGAAAATCTGTGGAGGGAGCTGAAGGTTCGAGTTGCCAAACATCAGCCTCGAAACCTTAATGACTTGGAGAAGATCTGCAGAGGAGTGGGACAAAATCCCTCCTGAGATGTGTGCAAACCTGGTGGCCAACTACAAGAAACGTCTGACCTCTGTGATTGCCAACAAGGGTTTTGCCACCAAGTACTAAGTCATGTTTTGCAGAGGGATCAAATACTTATTTCCCTCATTAAAATGCAAATCAATTTATAACATTTTTAGATTTGAAGCTTTCGTGACTGCAAGGATCCATACTCTTTGGTTCTATTCGGTAAAGTCACGTAGGTAAAAAAAATAAAACAAATCACGACGTTTCGGCCACAACACAAGCGGCCTTCATCAGGTGAGGGGCCAGACTGTCTCGAGGACAGCGCTGGAGCTTAGCTGTGTTCACTCCAGCGCTGTCCTCGAGACAGTCTGGTCCCTTCACCTGATGAAGGCCGCTTGTGTCGTGGCCGAAACGTCGTGATTTGTTTTTATTTTTTTACCTACCTGAATTTACCGAATAGAACCAAAGAGTATATAACATTTTTGACATGCGTTTTTCTGGATTTTTGTTGTTATTCTGTCTCACTGTTCAAATAAACCTACC